GAAGAAAGACTTCTCTTGCAAGGTCAACTGGGTAAAAAGGAATAGAATTTAGTTTACCTGTCAACACAGTGCTACTCATGACATTAAACACACCTGCAAATTAAGCACCCTGGAATGTCACCCTTCATATCTGGGTAAAGGCTTTGCTAGATCAGTGTATCAGCTGTGAGGTTAGCACACAAGTTCCTAAGGAGCTGGGCATTTAAACTTGCCCCTCCTCACATCCTCCCATTTTCTGTTCCATGGCTATCCTGATTGATGGTGACCCAGCACCTGTTCCTAGTGAACGACCTAGGGCAGGAGACATAGGAACTGATGTGGGGGCTATAACAACACAATGGCAGACTTCCATTATTTATGTCAAAGACAAAGGCCATCATTAAACAACTTAAATAACTGTCCTGAACCTTCTCTGTGCGTCCCCACCCTCCTGAAAATCACTGTGCTGGTTTTCAGATCTGGTAGCTTTGAAAGCTTGCAAGCTTCCCTCTGAAAGCTCACTCCCACCAGGTTAGGGGGTTGTTTAAAAAACAAAAAACAAAAAAAACGCATGTATTCAATTCATCTAAAGAGTTGAATGGTTGAATATCTCAATAGAGAGCTTTTCAACCCCGTACACAATCTAGGATAACACTTGGGGCGTGTGGAGCAAAAGGTAAAATCCAGACCCAAGTTTTAACATGCTTCATCCAACTTCTCAAACAAAGCATTACTATTACTGGCTGCCTCACGTTCAATTTGTATTTGTATCTCTCCCCTATTCCCCCCCCCCCCCCCCCCCCCCCCGCACACACAAAGTAGGGAGGAAGAAAACTGAGAGGGAAAGACAGAACCAGCAACAACAGGCAGCCAGCTGAAATCCAAGTAGACGGCAGGAGAAAGGCAAAAGCTCTGTCTTCCTCAATGGTCAAAGACCTTTTTCAGTCAAATTTTCCACTGCCTGGTTAATTGGCGGAGGCTGTATTGCAGAGCGCAGAGGCACGCGTTAGGGCAGCCCTACTCGCAGGCTCCCGGATCTGCGGAATGTTAAGGACAGGCCACGTCCTGCCTGCCCGCCACGGTTGCCCTGGTGGAACCGCAAGCTTCGAGGGGGGCTCCCAGCAGCGGACACTCATACTACACCTCAGTGGCAGTAATGCGGACGACAGGACGCCAGAGGAGGGGTTCCATGTCCCAGGCCAGGCTCAATTATTTTCTTTCACACACCACTGAACCGTTTTGAGGACCTGTAGGTGCCGGGCTAGGGGGTCGGGCTGCGCGGCATGTTTCTAACCCCTGACGTCTCCCAGGTTCGAATCTCGGAGCACCTCTCTCCGCCAGCGCACAAAGAGGCGGCGACCGGCCCTCCAGGAGGTAGGAGCTCTGGGCACGGTCATTTGCGAGCTGGGAATTAGGAATTCCGAGCTCCGCCAGAACCCTGGGGAAGCACCGGAAATGCTCCCAACCTCTTCAAAGGGAAGTCGATTTGCAAATCAAAGTTGCAGGAACTCCGGGCGCCCAGCCTACTTCAGTGGGTTACTAGGGAACACCCAACAAGTTTGGCCACCGGGGGCTCGGCGTGACAGCGCCGCGCCGCAAGGCTAGAGAAGCAACTTGTCGCTCGGGCGCCGAGCCAGAGCCCCAGGCGATCTGCGCGCCCCAAGCTCAGCAGAGGACCCGACACTCGGCGCTGGGAAGGCGCAGGTCCGAGCCTCCGGGGCCACATCCCTTCACTGAAAGGCGCCGCCGGGTCTCACCTGGACCGCGCTGCTTCCAGGGGCTTCCCCTCCAACGGTGAGACGTTTCACCACGGACACTTCACCTGCCTACCAGCCCGGCCCGTGAGAAATTAACAAAAGAGCCAGCGAACGGGGGGGAAAGGGGACCTGGCGCCAAGTACAGTAAGCAGGAGAGGTACGGCCGCTCTGCTCGAGGTGGAGAAAGAAGAGCAGGAACACAGATGGGTTATGTACCCCAGGCACCCGGCTCGGGGAAAGAAACCAAGAAGGGAAGAGAGCGCGAGAAGGGGGAATGGGTGTTCTCCCCCGCTCATCACACCCACACGCCTCCCCCTTTTCTCTCCTTACCCAGCATGGAAAAGATGAAATCCTTGGCTGTGTGAATCTCCAGCGCTCTCTGGTCATCGTATTCCCGCTGGTCGTGCTTCGTGAATTCTTGGATGAGTTTGTTCAATTCCTCCACCCGGGCTCCGGACCTGAAATCCAGCTCCGGGAACGCAGGCTTGTTGTTACAGCCCAGGGAGGCTGCCTTGCTGGCGGTGGGAGCCGCCATCTTCATGCAAAACGCGCCGAGGAGCAGCTCCGCGGCGGCGGCAGCACCCACTCCCGCCCCCCACCCCGCCCCCTTGGGCCTCCTCCCCTCGCCCGCTCCCTGGCTGTGGCCCTGGCCCGTGGGCGGGCTGGCGGGCGGGCGGGCGTCTAGGCGGGCGGTCCCGGCTGTGTGCGCGCCCGGCGTCCCGGCTTCGGAAGCAGCTGGACTGCAACGAGGGTGCGTGTGTGGCCCCGACACCCTTTCCTGCGGCCCCACGCCGGCCCGGGTGCTGCAGGTCCTTGCCCTCCTCTGGCCCTAGCTGGCAGCCGCGACAGCGGCCGTGGCTCCAACCCGAGCCTCTCCCGGGGCGAGGAAAGTGAAGTGGAAACAATGTGAAATTCACCAGCTCTGAAATCAACAAGCTGCCGGCTCCCGTGTTACGGAGCCAGCGCCAGCGTCCCCATTTAAAGGGACAGCGCACCCAGCGGAAAGAAAAATAAATAAATGACACAAGTCCGCGCGCCTGTGCCACTTGCCTATCTGTGCTTGGGCAGGCGTTGGAGGTGTGATCGTATTCTTTCTCTACCTCCACCCTCTTGGGGGGCAGGGCTTGCCAAGCGCATTCGAGGAGAAGGGGGTCTTCCTCTGTCTGATTTTAAGGGCGGTGTCCTGGGCTAGGGCATCTCTCTATGGGAGCGTTTCCATCTCAAAAACCCCAATGCCTTTAGGACCTACCCTAAGGATTATGAAACCAATCTGCTGCCCTTTCTGCATAAATTATGAAACATGTTAGGATGAAGCGTATCAAAGAAAAAGAGAGTATCGACACCACCCCCCATTACACACATAATGGGAATTAGCCACTAAACATCCCTACCTTCGCCCTAGGTAATTAATTTTCCTGGATAGCAGCTTATTCAACTTAACATATAATGAGTTAATAAGGTTCAGCCTGCTCCAATTTAAAGATAGGGAAACTAAAAGTGTGGTCATGGGAGAGGCAGAACAGTATGAATTGCCCCACGTTCTAATGAATGTTGAATAAGGAGGTGAAAATTCTGTCGTTCAGCAAATAGAATTTGAGCACCTACTATTTGCCAGGCGGAGTGCTAGAACCTGAGTGGACAGTGATAAGCCAAAGGGCCTGGTTGCTGCTGTGGAGTTATATTTATTTGACAAGAGAGGTTTCATCTAAGTCATGCTCCTTTAGACAGACTAGGGTCTCAGAAGTGTTTTTAGTGTTTATGAGGTTTTTGACTCAAACACTTACCAGGCCTTTTGATTCTTAAAAACAAAGGTAATTCTCCAAAATCCACCTGTTCTCTATCCCACAGTCCCTGATTTAGATAGGACTTTTTTCATTGTCTAACCTGGGTTCCCATGGCCAAGAATACAAACTTTTGTGAGACCAGAAAAGTAGTCTAGTCACTGCCATGTCCTCCCCTGTAAAATGGAGATGATGATGATAATTCCTGTCTCATAGGTTGTTTTAAGAATCACAAGAGATAAAGTGGGTCGAACACTTAGTGTAATGCCTGACACAATAAGTACTTAATTAAATGTTAGCTGCTACTCTTGTTATAAACATTTCCCCACAGCATTTAGCCCTGCGCGAGGGTCCTCAATGTTTGTTGAATCACATAATGAGGGAAGAACTTTGGCATAACCAGTTCATTTATTTTGCTTTTGGTTTCCTTCTCTTTGAAACAGCCTTTCTTACCTAGTCAACATTAAGGAGGGAGGATATATGCCCAGATAACTGCCAGTGGACTGATGAGGTAGCTACTCTAATCCTCCCACTTTAGCAGGTTTGCTCTGCGGCCCTGACTTCTCATCTGAGAGGGTATCACCATTACTTGAGCAGTGGAATAAGCTATACAAGTGGCTGGACCTGCAACACAAATTGATCCACTCCCATCTGTCAATGCTTCTCTCATGATCAATGAATGGTAGGCACCTGTGAAATAGCTGGCTGAGGCACAGTCATCCCATGAATCAAAAGGATCCTGGTTCACTCGAGCAAGCAACAAGCTCCAATAATTCAGATAAAAAAGTCAAAACACTTTTAATTTCCAAAAGCATGAATGAGGCATTGCTCCTCCCTGTTTCTGCCTTTTCTTGTGATACTTAAATTCCTAGCGAGAAAATGTAGTTAGCAAGAATTGCTCTGATTGTGCCTTAGCCCTAGGTCTTGAATGTTTTGAATGAGTGAGTCAGTGTTCTCTGTTCATTGTTCTACTTTCCATCAGCCAGATCAGAATTCTATGAGCCATTGACCTTCAATGAGCCTATATATTTAGATAATGTACTGAAGAGTAAACTAATACCTTTTATATGCTCTTATAATACTCTGATAAGATAGTATAAATATGTCTGAGCAAAGTAAAGAAAGAGGATCAGGAATCATAAGTTCCTGAAATGGTCTACTTTGGGAGACTTCTTAACTTCTGGGCCCTTAGACTAGGAGCTGTTCAAGGAGAAGTGCTGTGTCTCCTCATCTTTGTAAACACTGCACTTAATACAATCCCTGGGCCATTTTACAACTTTAATTAATATGCTTGAATGAATGCATAAACAAATTAATACCATCTCTCAAAGACCGGGAAGTCAGCATTAGGTGATGTTTGCTGCAATTAAATATCTCACTGTAAGCTATCTATGGCTTCCCAACAATCACTTATGAGTTGTGATAAATGTAGGTATTTCTGCTTGAGTTTAAGTGCTCCTATTTTCATGCATTCCCCACCACCCCCACCTTCTGTGTATGTTATATGGCCTAAGAGAAGGAAGAGTAATGGAAAGTTAAGAGAGAATAATTATTAGAAGATATTAAAGAGTGTCTCAGTCTTGTAATAAAAGTACACATTTCTAGAGTTTTGACAAATGACTCAGGAAAGATCAGTGGAGTTTACCATCTAAATGAGCATTAAGGTAGGTCATTCTGTTACTTGTTCCTGCAACATCTAACAGACCAAAGAAACTTTCCAAACTGCTGTCCTACTTAGAGGTTGAACTGCCTCTCTACTTTCCCACTCCCAAGTTTTATTAGCTTGTAAATAGAAGCCTTCTTCTGGCTTCTCTGGGGCTGTTTGTTTTTGAACACAGCTCTAAAGTTCTATGGCAAACTCTCAGCCATGAATAACTAGGCTATGCAGAGCATGTATTAAAAATAGCCAGCTTCACATCCACATGATGGATTAACAAAATGTAATTTTAAACAAAGATGCTCTGGTCTGACAGAGATTTAAATAGCAGCCCAGGCTACAAGATGTGGCCTTCTTGGAAAGTTGGATTTTCAATCAAAGTCTTAACAAATGGAAGGGCCAGAATTTCTTATGATTTGAAAATGTAGGCAGGAAAAAGAGAGGCAAATATTGCAGACATGTGAAATGTTGACAGTAGCAGGGACATTGAGGGCTAGATTTCATCCTCCACCTTCGTTTTACAGTTAGGAGAACTGAGACACAGAAAGGGAAAGGGAACTTGTCTAAATAGTAGAGATAGTGCTCTTGCTATTTTTTATACTAACTTCGAAGTTAGTAGATATTTATGGCGTTTCCAAGCCACCAGAGGGGGCATGAAAAATGCCGTGAAATTTGACCAGGCTCATAATAAAATCAAAAGAGGAGAGTGGCCCTTGGGCAAAATGCACTCATCGCACTTGAAAATTAAATCTCAATGAACCAGGAATTGCTGACATTTGGAATGACTTGGCTACCGCTGTTTCCAGCCAATAGGTAGATAATCAGGACTAACGCTGAGTCTCCTTGGTACCTCACAAAGTTGTGCAGGTGCACACAGCCCTTTTTGGGGCAAGCTGGGCAATTTTACTTCTGGTGAGATTAAGCCATTGAAATATTGGTGAGGTTCCCAGGACAGGGGGAGTAACGCTCTTGACTCAGCCTATTTGGTTCTAATGAGGTAAAGCCCACCCCCTCTGACATATTCGCAGGTTTCAGAGGACACTTGTTTCACTCTCTCCCCAAACCCCAAAGGCCTGGGTGGTCTAGCTGTGAAGAAACTGTAACAACATAAACCTCTCCACCCGAATCTGTCATTTGATTCTCTACTGCTATTCTCAAGGGGGCCAAATCTATACAAGTAGAAAGAAAATGAAAATGGACTCTAGGATTGGCAATAACAATATCTGATAACAACTAATAACAATTTGCCCTTCCTTACAATGATAGAGGACTTTAGGGTTCAACAAAGCACTTATTATAAAAATCTGTTTTTTATCTGATCATCACAACCTGTGAAAGCAGACTAGTCTGGACAGTTACTATTCCCACTTTACAGACAGGAAACTGAGGATCAGGGAGATGGTCATTTTTCTGAGGTCACCTGCTGGTAATTATCATCCTTCTGCTCCCTATTTAGATGTCATTTCTGGCAAATGGCTTTTTCTGAGCCTCCTCCACCCCACACACCCAAGTCTAGGTCATGTCGGCTCCTGTCGCCTTCGGACTCTCTCACTGCTCTTCCTTACACTTCATCACAGCTGTCTGACAACCAGCCTGTCTCCTTAACAGACGTGTGCTTAATGTGTGCAGAGACTGTGTCTATCTTGATCACAGATGTATCCCCCGTGCCTCTCAATGGGTCAGAAACATAATAGATGTTCAATAAATAACAGAGTCAATGAGTGAACCAGGTGGCTGGCTCAGGTCCCAAACTCCAGTCTTTTGATTTATGACCCAGGTTCTTTTCATCAAACTTCACTGATGGTTATTAACAACCATCGAGTATTCAGAAAAACACCAACCATCTCCTACATTTTAGAGAGTTTTATACTTTACCCAGCAATTCACATATACAATTTGATCCCATAGCTCGATTCAAGTTCCATCATTGCAGACAAAGCCTTTTGTTCCTCTTCTTTCTACCTTAATATCGGAGCTCAAGGTCATTTGCTCAATAAACTGTATGACAAAATAACAACAACAACAAAAAAAAACTAAGTCCAAATTTGCAACTCTCCTTTTGGGGAAGCCTAGTCTACGTGATTTTTATACATAAGGCAAGAAAAAGAAGACTGATTAATTGCTCTAGAAATCCTGTTTCTGTAGGAATCCCTTAACCTCATTGACTGTTCTGGAAAAACTGTGGGGCCCCCTTACCAATCCCTTGATATTGCTCCATCCTCTTCTCGCCAGTGAACTTGCCAAAAGGCTGGACTTTCGGTCCTCTACACCAATTTATATCCTGCCTTGTATATACCTTGGGTACTGGGTCACAGCCGAGGATAGAGTGTAATATCTTGCAAGTGAAGACTGGAGATATTGGTTTGTTTGGGTCTGAGCAATTAAATAAAAAAGGCTGTCAAGGGGGGAAATTAATTTATATTTTGCGGTGGTGATTATAGAGGGTGGAACCAGGAGACATGGGTGGCAGTTAGAGAAATAAAGTCTTCACCTCAGGATAAGGAAGCAGTTTCTAACAATGAAAGCCACTCTGCACAGAATAATGCTGCCTTATGAAGTA